CTGCTTTAAGTCATAAGTGATCCAGTCGGTGGTATGTAGAGAGCTACTCAATGTCTTTGTAGTCAATTCTGCCATGTGAGAAATGAAGAAATGAATGTCCTCCTTGAGTACAAACAACTGTCTCTCTAAAGGCTGTAAGTCCTCTCAGAATAGAGCGTAACTAATGAGACAAAATTACCTGAATATTGTTGTTTTTTTAGAGATTTAAAGGATTGCAAGTGTGAAGGCCTCATTGTATCACCAGAAGAACATCTTGCCTGCATCAAGCTGAGCCGTCTGCACACCTTAAGCTGTGTTTCGCTGACCTCTGGTGGTGATATAACGACACAGTCCGACATGAGTGCGCGTCAATTATCTGCAACAACGGTCCTTTCAGATTTAACACTTTATAATAACTACACACTATAAAGCATTAAAGTATGAGTAAACACTTAATTCATCATTTATTAAAGCATTGTTCCTACATTAATAATTCATTAGTAAGCAGTTCATAACAACAGTTATAAACGTTTTATTCTTGATTAATAAGCTCGTCTATTATGTGTTCCTACATTAATAATTCATTAGTAAGCAGTTCATAACAACAGTTATAAACGTTTTATTCTTGATTAATAAGCTCGTCTATTATGTGTTTCATTATTGCGTTTTCATACTTTATAAACGATGGATTCCCCATTTGTAAATGAAGTATTATATATTTTACAAACCAATTATTAAGGAGTTGTAGATGATTAATAACATCATTTATAAAGTGTTAGTAATTTATTTAGATGTACATTATTCATGCATTTATATATATAATGGTTAGGGACTATGTTAATATATGCTTTATAAACGCATATTAATACTGCAATTCATGATTAATTCATGATTTATTAAGGTAGTTACTACTCGTTAGTAAAGTATTTTGTGTGTCCTCATCTAAAGTGAGGACTATTTATGCCTTACAAAGCATTTATTAAGTGTTTTGTGTGACCTCATCTAAAGTGAGGACTATTTATGCCTTACAAAGCATTTATTAAGTATTTTGTGTGACCTCATCTAAAGTGAGGACTATTTATGCCTTATAAAGCATTTATAAATGACATTGAAAGGCCAGCAGTGCCTCAAAACACATCGTTTTTGAACAGAACAGGCAAATAGACACAACACAAAGTGATCAAAAACATATTAATATTTATTGCAAGATGCAAACAATATACTGTTAAATACAAACCTCTCCGCCATTAATTCATGTAAGAAACAAACAAACAAAGACATTCTCCTTCAGGAGAACATGGCTGCATACAAAACATTTGTAAATATACGACTGGAGCTAACCAGGAGCTTTGCCTATTAGTTTACATTTACTTATTAAATTATTCATTTGTGTGTGTGTGTGTGTGTCCTTATCATATCTCAAACTTGGGTTTATGGGGACCCAAAGGGGTGCAGCATCGAATGTGCTGCGCTTTGGCCAGATGGTGGCGCTATAAAAACAAACTTTACGTTTTGGCCTTTTACTTTTGAACTGTAAGTCACTCGTTTGCGTCAAGATTTTCTGCAATTTTTCACGACTCATCAGTTAATACAGCAGCGTCCTGTGGAACACACTTTTCTTCGTGAGGTGCACCGACGATCAAACAAAAGGTATTTTTCTCGGGGAAATTCCACATAAGGAGTAGCTGCGAAAACCGTGTCTAAATAGGCTTCTGGCCCTCGTACACAGGCACGAGAAATAGCAACTTTAACAGTGTCATAGTTGGTGCCATGCTGGTCCAGTTCTGACTCATACATGTGCATATGGGCTTATAAGGGGTTAGGTGTGACTGGAATGTAACTAAGTACATTCCCACTCTGCATAATAAGTATCTTGATGTGTGGTATAGTAGAGAGTTCCCAGAGCCTCTGAGCATGTGCCCGTTCAGAATGCACATTACTCTCTACTGGAAGTGCTGCTTGCAGTGTTTTTGAGAAACCAGCATCAGGTTGGTTGTAACGTTGGTATATTCAGCTTTCAGAGGCAAAAGTGAACTGCAGTCAATGAGCTTATTGAGTTTATACTGTGCATAAATGTACATAACACATATATTCAAATATCACAAAAATGGCAGTATTTAAGAATATTATATATTTCTATAACATGCTGTTGTTATATAGTTTTGTACCATAAAGTATTGTTCTTAATAGTATCTATTTCTTAATAATATCTATATAACTATTATTAATATACTAACAACTGCACAAACACAAATCTCCCAGATTATTATATTTCTTTCTTTCTTTGTGTTTTGTATACGCTTCGTAATTTTGAATAAATATTTTATTGTGAGGAAATAAGGGTGATTCCTTATTCATTTACATACTACAGTTTCACAAAACATAATTCCTTTTTTAGTTGTTCTTTTTAATACTTGGCATAAACAAACTGAAAATAGCATATGTCGCTTGAATCTCTCTCTGGGCTGCATAGTTGTAATTCATATTGTACATAACTATTGCTGCCAGTTCTTACCTTCCCCCACCCTGATCAGCTTCACCTGTTCCTAATCCCCCCCTCCTCCTGCCGAAAGTATTTAGTCTGTGGAAAGGTCCAGAAATGACCTCCTAACGTCTATTCCGAAGCAGTGTTCCGTGACCTCGATGGAAATGTCATGAGGCCAAGGAGAGATGAGAAGGAGAATTCATTGAGTTTTATAAACTTAGTTCGGGAACAAGGACCACGCCCCGAAGTATTTAAGCACAACGAACCTGTTCACATCCTCCACATGTCGTGTGATTCCCGAGCAAAAAAATCAAAACCTTAACCGCTTACCTTGGAACATGGACCTGGAGCGCACCCTCACTCCTTCCGACAACGACCTGTTCGAAGAAGATCAGCTAACTCCAGCAGTCCCGAAGATCCCACCTTCTCCCATTATCTTTCGCTGCTATCAACCATCCACGTTCCTCGTGGCTCTTGACATGTAGCCACTCATTAGCCCACCTTTCCCCATATTCAGAATCAGTCCAATCTACTCGGAAATATTCAGGAAAAAAGAGACTCATCATAGAGCTCTCATCCCCCCACAGCTCCACCATCCCAGGCATCACCAGCCTAATCCCCAGCCAGGAGTACTCGATGCAGTACACCACAATTGTTCACGCCGCATCCCTCCTCCACCTCGCAGGTCAAGGTGCCTGGCTGTCTAAGGCAGACGTCACCAGCGCCTTCAAAGTACTTCCCATCCACCTTGACTACTGGCACCTCTTCGGTTTCCTCTGAAGGGTGCTTATTACTTTGCAGTGCACCTGACCTTTGGGTGCAAGAGCAGCCCAAACATTTTTGATTGCCTATCCGAAGCACTCTGCTGTATCCTGACAAATAGTCATCAGCATGACTCCCATTAGTTTATGACTGTATAAAAGTAATGATTGAACCTGTGTAAGATAGGCGTATCGTTTGTTTTCATGGACGACCGAATGGTGCGTCACTTTAAATGTTGCTGCTATAAGGAATTGTGAGGCGGCATTATCTTCTGTCCTTTGACAACGGAAGGTCCAATGTATCGTATGCTGAAGGAAGGAAGGAATTCAAACAGCTCTTATCATGGCGGTTACTTATACACTTCCGGGTCATTTCACTTTTTTACTTCCTCATAGAATGTGTTCACCTTTGTCTCCATTTCTTCTTAGTACCTCCGTGTCTAGCGTTTGTGTTTCTGTGATCAAAATCTGTGATCTTGGTAATCTGCTCTTTGACCTGTTGCTGGATTTGTTCGCCTGTTCTGACTGCCTGTACTGAACCTCTGCAAGTAAAGACGGCTTTTTGAAACTGTCCTGGTCTTGAGTGCCGCTTTTCAGTCCTTGCCTCAGTGGTGGCTTCGGCCCAAACAGTTAAATGTGCAATGTGTGAACCAAAAACTGAACTTGTCAAACCTGTCAAAACTTAACATTAGATTTCTATCTATATGCTTTGAAGAAGATATTAAACAACATGACAACACTTTCAAATAGTTCCCTTGTTTATTATCAGCAATTAGTCAAATACATATAAACAAACAGTAGGAAAAGGAGAGTTCATCAGCGACTTTGTTTTTGTTTTTTTGTTTTTTTTTGCATAACAATTTGTGCAGTAAAAAAAGGAAACACGTTATGGTACATGAGCAATAGATAAATAAAAAAAAGAAATATTTAGCATGTTATTTACAACTCATATTCCAAGAGATATAAATGAAACATTCCATCAACTTACTAGCAACAAACTCCACAGAATATTAAACTGCCATTCTCTGGCAATGATATGACGTCTCATAAGGATAAATAATGTCGTGTTCAGTTTGCGTGGCTGAACTTTGAGCTTTAAAGCTCTTGTCAATAAATACAGTGATTCTTGTAAATGATTCTACTGAACAGTTTCTTTCCTGGTGTATTATGGGCCATCAATAACAAATCAATAACTTGAATGTATTTTTGCAGACTTGACATATTGGTGTAAAAGAAAACAAAAAACCTGTTGATGACTCAAACCTGGTGGCTTAACATCATGTCTGGGATGTCCCAGAGACCAAACCTGATTTGGGCACTTCCTGTCAACAATGGCCAACAAAGTGTCAATTCCAAGGCAACATTCATGTGGCATCCAAGACACCCAAGTGTACTGTGGGACATTTGAATCAAGAATGATGGACAACTAGTAACCAAAGTAACAGGTCAATGGGAAGTGTTATTTCTAAATACCCTGTGATGAACACTGTGTCCAGGCTGCTAACAAGAACAAACAGTGGAATTTGTTTCTGCTTCCATTATTTAAAAAGCTAAATACCCGGAAAACACAATGGGATCGCATTTTATTTCCTGACATTACAAGTTGACACGGATCAGTGAATTGCTCCATTAAAAGAAATCTCTGACCCACAAAACATATTGGGATACATGGGATAGTCCTCCAAATCTAACTATAAAGTAAGAAATCTATCTGTGTGTGTGTGTGTGTGTGTGTGTGTGTGTGTGTGTGTGTGTGTGT